TTCGCAAGGGTGGCAATGGGCCTGAAGGGCACAGAGAACAAGACATTTGTTCCCTTCTCACACTTCACATCGTGTAAACTAACTCGAAATTCAGACCAACGTGTAGAACGTGTAGACCAACGTAGAACAAAATTAAACATATTGCACCTTGAAGTGCTTTAAAGTTAAGAAAGCTTTTGAAAATAAAGAGGTATGCGCTCAATCACTTAATGAAAGTGATCTCATAGAAACTTGCCATTTGGAAACCATAGGTAGAAAACCTTGATAGCCAACGATGACTGCTAGCCTTTGTCTCCCATTTTATGTCATATATCATCTATTAGCTCAGTTACTTTCCTTGTAGGCTTCTTTTCCTGCTGTCTCATTACTAGCTTTGGGAATGGACAGCGATAAGCCATCCGAAAGCCAATCGAGAAATTCGACTTTTCAACAAAATGCACTTTTGATTAGTCATGCGTCGCTCCCTGTTTGAGCTGCCTAAACATGTATGATGAAAGTGACACTACAAGGCGTGCCTTTTCCCCTCTATCCTTGTGTCTGAGTCACATCCGATTCGATAAGCGCACAAGCAAAATTCACTTTCATCACATTCGGCAGACAAAAGGTTTGTTAAATAAAAAGTTGAAATGGATGAAAATACTGAGTGTTGGTAGATCGCTTTATAACGTTTCGTGATCTGCATTGAAAATTGTGCAGCCTCTTTACGCCCTAGTGCATTTAACTTCGCATCCAAAATTACGCACCTACTCAACCGAAGGTCATTTAGTATGTAGAAATGATGACTTTAAACTAACCCAAAATGTGCTTCTTTTTTTAATTAATCCAATAGGTGCGCTTTCAAACGCCATTCAAAATCTCAAATTTCAGCCGCATAAAAGCAATGATCGATGAATGTGTGTAGCTCTGCTACAAAATTTTTCCATTCTTTGATCTCAAGATAAGTAGAAAAGTAATTTCCTACACCTCACCTTCAGCGCATAAACACTCGCTGAAGTAAACATGCTTAAGCAAACAGCAACTGGCAATTTATGTTTAGGCGGAAATGCACGAATTTGTACCCGAGACTCTAAAACCTAACAGTACTTTTAAACCATTACTCCCATCGCATTGTATGATCACCATCACCACCATTAAAGTGCAATCAAAATAAAACTGTTTATTTGGTCAGAGAATGTCAGTCGACCTTACACGACCACACATTCTGACCAAATCGTCAAATCATGACCAAGAGGACAAAAATCTCCACGACCGAAACGCATTAACACCAGGAGGACTGGAGGAATAAAGCCCAAGACCGATCAGTTTAGTTTCGGCGTTTTACATTCCAACAGTAGGTGCTACTCGGAAAACCAGTCGTGAAGTCAAACCGACTACAAACCCACAATCTGCTGAGATATGGTGACGGCCGACTGATTTAACATACGTACCCAAGCATAGGGGTAAAACGCATTACTCACTGATTCCTCCTTTACTGGCTGCACAAAAATTTCCGTTTCTTCAAAGGAAGAAGCGTGTCCTGAAACCATGGCAATGTCTGACGTGCCCTGATGGTGGATGACCATGGCAAAGGTGTCATTCGCAGCGGTGACAGCAGCAGTGGAAGAGGCACCAGAACCGCCATTAGGGGTGTTATCCATGCTTGCCTCCACTCTCTCAACGGTGTGATTCTCCAACTCCTCGTTCCCTTCAACAATTATTGGCATTTCTGACAGTCGTGGAAACGTCTGTGCTTCTGTGTTTGTCACTTCATTGTTTGCGGTTTTATTCAAATCACCACATGTTTGAGACACGTCATTGGCAGTGCTTGAATTTGCTAAAATAGAGTAGAAATACATTTAAAGCAGTTAAGTTTTTACCCTGAAAACAACCAAACACCACTAGGTGTTTTCTTTGTGGATTTCCATGGCTCAATATAATGTTTTTAGGTGAAATAAGGGAGGTGGATGATGCGTAGCTTCATAAATCACTTCAGTCCTGGTTGTTCAAATATAGGATAATAGTTATCGTCGCGTAAAGAACGGCCGCTTAACAACTGTGGCGAATCAATGGTCCTCCGTCTCCCTCCTTCTCTAC